GGCTCGAGCAGTCCAGGCTACAGCATAGTTTATTTTCATGTTGTGTCAACTTCTCCAGATCTAAGGAAAAATATGCTATTAGTTAGTGATCTCTTCCAAAGTTCTCTTTTTTGTTTGACTCAGGGAACAATATTGTGAATCTAATAAAACCTTAAGTAGACTTAATGCTGTTTTACACATTTTACACATTTCACACAATTCAAGAAATGTATTTTATCAAGATTGGACATTAATGTTTCTCTGGCAAAGCTCTGAGGCTTTAATTTAAATAATGAGGGGATGTCTAAAAGTCATTTTATTTAAGGGTATAAAACTTAAATGGGCTTCAAATCAAGCTAAGCTTTTCAGATTTTCATTCATGAGAATATTAAAATCATTTAGATTTTTCTCCTATGCTTTCTGGTGGTACATTCAGTAAAATCTTGATAAAGTACATTAAAATCTGTGGCTAGACTTAAAACAATGAAAAAAAATGTTTTTAAAAATGGTAAAAGGAGTGTCAATAGTTTAGCATGGCAATATTTTTTTCATCACTTACAACTTTGTATGGTCTTGTTGACGACACTGAAGCCATAGTCAGGATTCCTGCTCAGATCAATGTAGTAGTAGAACCTCAGTTCCTGCGGGTATTGAGAGTGGGCCAGGCCCTGAAGCAGTGGTATCATCCTATTGGACATGGGTCCTTCTGCCAGGGCCTGGTGCATCATGTAACTGCACCAACCATCCTGCACAAAGCTTGGAGTAATGAGCAGAGCCCGTATGTGGCTGTTCTCCACAGCCTTGCAAAACTCTGTGGATATAGCACCTCCCGGGCATGAGTCTCTGTGCCACAGGAAACACCTGAGGCTGCGGGGCGGCGTCTCAAGGAACAAAACCAGGCGTTTGGCCTCCTCAATGTCTCTCTGGGCAGAGCTGTGACATACAAACACGTCATATTTCCGTTTCCATCTCAGCTCTGAACTCAGGGAAAGCTTTAACTGCGGTGGTTTAGTTACAGCTGGTCCTTGTGATGATGGCGATGTAGAGAATTCAGATCTATTGCCACCAGCTCTCCTCGGTTTTTCAGTTGCCTTGCCCTTCTCATTTTGTGTCGATTTAAACATTTGTTTGAACCACCCTGGAAAGCAAAGACATGAAAATAAGCATTTCTCACTTACTTACTTAAATTTAACTCTTTTAATCCTTCATGAAATTTGATTTTAAAAGGGGCTAAAGAACAAGAAGTCAAAGGAGAGTTAAAATTAAATTGAGCATGTGCGTTATTAAGTTTAATAATGCACCCAAGCACCCAATTTAATACATGATTAATATACTAACTATACATTTAATTTATAAAATTTCACCATGCAATAATCAAAAATACATTTAAAAGTACGAATCAAACGTCATTGTAAAAATACATTTATTAAAAACTCACTCTGTATTTGTTATGGGATGAAATACTAATATTTTTTTTTATGTTTGCCAGTTTGTAGCTCTGTTACTTTTGGGGCCATGGACTAAAATGTTTGGGAACTCCAATTCTAAGCTCTAGAAAGCCAACGGTGAAGTGAGAATTTTCTTTTTTCAGCATATTTGTAATGAATGAATGAAGTTTTAAAATTTTCCTGCCAGAAAACCAGAGCTAAATCCAACTGATCTGATTTTACGTTTTATTTAAAAGTGATCCTCGGGGCTCAAAGTGGCACTGTATAAATCCAGCAACCTAACAACAATATGATGTAAATTGTAAAAAAAATTGTATTTTGGATTCTCTTCAGAGGGCTGTGGACCAAGGATCTAACAGAGTGGTGAATGAATGCTTAACCTTTACATGAGTCATACTGTGAAAGTGTGCAAACTTGTGGCTGCAACTCTTTGGTGTTTGAGAAATTAAATGCTTTCTCAAAGTAATGTTCGACTTAACATAAAGAAACACTGTATGTATGCTGAATTTATGGAGCAGTGCAGACTCGAACCTTTGAGCCAATAAACCCCGGCACAGAAAAACTCACCATGGACTAAAAATAAATCAACAGCGTGGTGCACCGCACACTAAGGACACACAGAGAGCTATGGAGAGCAGTGCGGTTTCAATTGTTTTGTTCAAATAAATCAATATTCTTTCTTATAAATCCTATATAACCTTGCTACAGGAAAACTTTGGAATTATAACTTACATAATTTGAACCTCCTGATTTTTTTTAAAGTCAACAGGAAAGCAGCCAATAGAATCTGTGCACTCATCAGATTTTAAAGGAGAGAAACATTAAACAATAAGAAAGCCTGGCCATGACATAAAATATAAGATTCACTAACTTACCATACATGTTGTTAATACCATCATGTCTGCTGAGCTTCTCTCCCAAATATGTCATATAAAGAAGGAGAGAGATATTATAGTTAGACAAACAGGAGCAGACATAAAGTAACTCTAATCCCCAAACTAAGAGGAAGTTACTGTTTGACGGAAGAGACGCCCAGACATGTTCACTGTATTTCAAATGCAAAGTTAGTTCTAGCTTTACGGTTCACTGCAGTTAACCCTTTGATAAGAAAAGATGTTTACAGAAATGTCAAAACTAGTTACATTCTGTATGTTTTGATTATTTAGTTCTCGTCATGTCCTAAAAAAGGAATAGAAAAAATATTGGCAGAAATAATTTGTCTTTTAAAAGTTATTTCACCTTCAAGACACATAGAGAGAAGGAAGGAGGAAACTGCAGTTTTTTTTAAGGCAAATGTAAATTGCACTTACAGGAAGTTTCATCTCAGATTTCCAGAGGGTTCATTTAAATCAGTCAGAAGCCAGGGTTTTTTTTATGATTGCCTTTCAGACCCTGTACTGTGAAATTAGTCATAGAAATGGTTCTATTAAAATGATTATATTAGAAGGAAAACATTTTAATAGTCGTTAATTCCAGAAAAATCAATCCCATCTTGGCCTGATGGCATGCAGAATAGATGAAAAACATTTTTTGGTCATGATATTTTTGGCATAATATGATAAACTAATTGATTGAACTATTAAAAGCCTCATCCAAAGTGGTGTGTGGATGTTTTAGTGAACCTGACAAAATCACTTTTGCATCTCGGAGTTGTTGTGGATGATGGCGGCTTTATTTCGACTTTTATACATTTTCTGTATTATGTACCATTTGCTGATTTTAGCTAAACATTACCACAAGTTAGTCTGTACGTACAATGTTTCAAAAAGTGCCTAGTGGGATACATTCTTTCTATGCAGGAGGAGCAAACAGAGGGGAGCTGATGAAACAGTTGAAGGCAACTGCTCTACAATCCAGTAATGTTGTTGGTGTGGAGATTGACTCAGATTTCAAATCTCAGATTAGGAACATTTCAAGGACAGTATCTGGCAACACCTTCAACTGGAGAGTCGGTTCCTGAAACGTGTTAGGATACAGTCTTATCCCACCATAATTTCACACAGTACAATTGTTTATTTTTTAACTAAACATTAACAGAATCAGAAATAATCCTAGAGGGAAATTACTTT